GGACATAAAGCCAATGTTAATGTTAAGCATCCCTGTATGATCTCTAGGAATACAACATATAAACAGACACTATAGAATTCTGGGACCGAGAGATGATACACCAAATCAGGTCATTTCTTTTTTCTATTTACTTTGACCCCTTCTCCCTTCTAATGTAAGAGCATCTATTAGCGAGCATAAAAAAACTTGCAACAGTGAAGAGTATTGTATTAATAGGTATCGTATATTAAAACAAATTGCCTTCTCCCAGGAACTCAGACACCTCAGCCTGGGAACACTAGCTCTCAGAATGGCCTTTGGTCAGGAGGTACATCCTAACACCAGGCTACTCAGGTGAACATCCCACTCCCCTCCCCAGGCTACCCAGGTGAACATCCCACCCCGCTCCCTAAAGCAAAGGCCTAGCATCTCATGCTGAGGGCAGAACTGGAGAGGAAAGATCACTGTGGGTTTAGGCTAGCAAACCCATCACCCTCCCAGCTGGGGCTTTACTGAAGTAGTTCAGGGTTAATCCAAACAGACACGTGGTTGGCAGATGTTCAAGTGATGTTCCACCCCTTGCAGATTACAGGCAGTAAATGCAACCACAATGAATCAATTGGTCCAAAAATCAGAAAGTGTTTTTTTAAGGTTTCCTCCCAGCTCCTTCCCCATCTTCTGCCCAGAGGAAGTATTTCTACACCTGACCTGGGACAGGGGTTCCCATTCAGTGCAGGGCAGTGATTTTTGCCAACTGGGACACTACTGAAAGGATAGCACGAGTGAGAACTAGGACAATGTCCTCCCCCATACTCACAGAATCACATCACTTCAGCTGAAAGACGTCCAAATAAAAAACAATGATGAAATGTTCACCCCAGGACTGTCAGCACCAGAGGATCTGAATGCAACCATGTCTTGTCGCTTTTATGCCCACATTCTCCTGTCGGAGTAGCATCAGGGTGCATGGCAGATGTTGTGTCCCTGAGTAGGGATGAAGTGCTCCAGGTACTTCTAATGTCTCCTTTCTGCTGCTGCATGTGGATACGGATAACATGGGGGCAGGCAGACTGCAGTGCAACAGCCCTACTAGATCTACTCGTCCTTCAGCAGTCTTCAAACAATGCCAAAGAATGAGCTGATTGAGGCTTAAGGGACCTGAAGTCCTCTCTAGGCCTGGATCATGCTTCTCATTGCCTAGTCCCTCAAGCCTCTCCACCACAGTCTTCCTCAGAGCAGCTCTTCCAGCTCTGCAGCTCTCCGGCCTCAAGGGCAGCCTTGGCTCCCGCAGCACCACACCCTCCTTGAGCAGAAGCTGCTTCACAGCTCTACCTCAGCCCGTGGTCCAATAACATGAACATCCCAAAGCCAGCAGAAATTGATACTGGCATCAGAAGAGGCAGTTGCACCCGCTGTCCCCTTCCCTGGCTGTGGGAGCTTGACTCACTGCCACCCAGGCTCAACCCTCTCTTGACTGAGTTTAAATTGATTAGGCAGCTGGGCCCTGAGCAGAGGCAAGTGTGTGTTGCAGACCCTGCTCTAGCGGGGCACAGCACTGCTGAGCTCCAGAGGGCCACTCTGCCTCTGCAGAGGGGATGACTGATACGGACTAAGTGACAAGCAGGAAATCACAACAGAAATGGTCACCTGGGTTTGAGGAAGACCCCAAGGGTTCCCTTGTAAGGGGAGGTTTCTCTCAGTAAAGCTGGACTTAATCGACATTTCTGTGATGTTTTTGAAAGTATCTGCAAGCCAGAGCCAGGTTTTGCAAATACTGTTGATTCGTGAGGTGACTCTGAGCCATGGACTTTCTCAATTAACAGCAGCAGGTTTACCAGCTGGAGCAGTTTTGCAGCAGGACTCCAGCCCCAAAAAATAAAAAAGTCAAAGTACTCATGCAAAAGGCAGATTTCTAATGTCATTTGTTTTCTAATCAAGAAGTTCAAAACAAGGAAAAAAGTTGCAGTTATGTGTTGAGATCTTCCCACATATTTAAGTGCTGCAGTGACACAAGCCCTTTGCTAAGACACAAGAAACAAGGATCGTGAAGAGCAAACTGGGCATTTCTAACCTAACGCAAGCTTTCCCAGCACTAAAAGTCATTTCAGACCTTTTGAAGTGACAATATTTTGCTGTCCTTTCCAGAAGGCTGCTGATCCAGGTAAGCACCCACAAAAGACAGTGCTCCTTACAGCAAGCTGAGCGAAGAGAGCTACGGGGAAGGCGCGACATGGAGGAAAGGGGAGAAAAGCAAGGGTAACGCGCACACTCACAGGCTTTTCCTGATCGAATTGGAGCGCTCCCATGCCAGAAGCCCTGCGCCGCTAGAAAGGCGCGTTGCTGATCTCTCAGCTCAGAAGTGAGAGCAGAGGCTTTCAGAGCAGGAGCAAATGAGGGCTGTCCCCATTACTGCGAGGAAGCAGAAAGCCCTTTATATGCAGCACGGTGCCAGCCACACAGTTTCTAGGCAGCCACAGCCGTATTACAGGAGCACAGGGAAAAGCTTTCTGGGGCAAGCACAGAGAGTGTTTGACTACATGAGACGTTTATATTATCCAGGCCCAAGCTCACTGGCCTGCAATTACGCAGTTCTAGACCTGGTTTTCACACAGGGGAGTATTAGGTGCAGTCCCCTTGTCCTTCACCTCAGTGCTAAAACCTCTCAGCTGAAACCTACGTTTTGGGACATTTCACATTCAGATCTCATCTGCTATTCTTGCCATTTAAAAAAAAAAATAAAGACATATCTTTGAAGCCATAATTAATTTGAAAGCCACACTAACAATTACACAGTAAGAAAATCTTCAGCTTTAATATATTTCAGAGCAGAAATTGAAAGCGTGGGTTATAAAAACAATTCACTCACTAGGCATCCATACCTGTAGGAAGTGAAAAATAGCCATTTGTGCCCAAAGTCCTACCATCTATGTCAAAATTGTGTTGCTAAACCTTTCCTGACGGGATGAAATACTGCTTTTGTAAAGGCATCCTTAACATAATGCGGCTCTGCAGCATTTGGCTGGATCAGGTTTGGAAAACAGGCTTTTATAATACACAGATGTATTTAGCATTTAAGAAGATTAATAGATTCATAAATAGCCTGGGAATCCAAACTCATTGAATTTAGTGCATGGAACAGGTCAAATAAGCATTTATCAAACCATCTGGCATCTTTCTTCACTGGGGAAAAAATTGTGGTCCAGCTACAGAGAGCTGAGGAGCCATCACCACAAGGATTGTGTGACTTTCTAGTATTTAGCTTTCCTCTAAAAATTGCTAGGTGCTAATTACAGAGCAATAGACCTCCTTGGACAGAGCGTTACAGACCAAGCCAGGCTGCCCAAAGGAATATGTTATGAAGTCACTGGAGATACCGCTTCATGCTGGGAAAATCAGCAAGCACAGCCTGGTGGAAGAAAAGAGGCTTCAGCTTTTCACAGTCTTCAGCTCTGGAGTTTGAGGACGGCCCGGTTGTTTTGCATGAGTTTATGTTAGCTTTCACAACAGCTATTTACTGTGAGGGCTACGGGACAATCTGCGGTGGTGTTCACCTGACGTGCTAGGGCGGCCAGCACGGTTTGAGGCTGAGTGTAATAACTGCTGTACCCAACAGCTCTGGCCTGGCAGGCGTTACTAGACCCGACCCAAGGCACCTCGGCTGAATCGCTGAGCCCTTTTTTAAAAAGTTTGCTTATTTCCCTGATTCTCTCAGACCATCACAGATTTAAGCACACACAGAAGCTAAGAAAAGGTCTTTGCACATTGCATTGGTATATTACCCATTTTTCAGTGGTTCAGTGCCTGTCTTCAAATGTCCCGTCCTTGGTATGCGTCTGTGGGTGCTCAGCGGTGTGTGACGGGGGGCAGGGGCAGAGGCAAGGACAGCCGTTCAGTCAGCATTTTTAGCCCACGTGCTGCCCCGACCGCAGCAGCGCCTTTTGGTAAAGCGTGAGCCGGGGAGGGGAGGCTCACGTCCGCCCTTGCGGCTCTCAGGCCACGCGTCCGTGGCTGGGGTACAGGTTGCTCCTGCCGGGCAGCCAGGGACCTGCCCACAAGGGAATAACGCTGCGGGTTTAGATTAGGTGGTGGTCGCAGGCCGGCCTGCCGTAGGGCAGCAGCGGCATTTTTGTTCATCTTCTGCTGTGCTTTAGAAAAGACTGACGCCCGGCATTGCCAGACCATGGAAATTTGCAACATTTCCGGAGGTCATGTGCTGAACTGCTTATTTAAAAAAAAAAAAAAAACAAAGAGGGGGGAAAAAAGGGGTTTAGGGAAATGTTTGAAAGTTTCTTCTTAAATTGTTTCCGTTTTCCTTTTATTTCATGACATTTTAGCAGTAATAGAGGATTGTATATGTCATACGAGCACTCACACCACGTTATGTTAAGCCACGTATTTTGATTTAATGCAGTTGAAATATCACAAAAGTATGGACAAATGTCCATAAACAGTTATATTTTAAAGCAGTTGCTACTTAATACAGAGGTAAGCACTGTTAAATCAAAGTGTCTATGCCGTAATGAGACAGCCTGCCATTTGCTCTAGAATATAAAATAAGCATTCATGTGTACCCATTTGAGTAGCCTACAAAAGGAGTTCCAGAGTAATTCAGGGATCTTAAAATAAATGTTTTGTTTACCGCTGCACTAAGCAATTAATTTATTTTCAAGAGGAAAACATCAAATTGGTTTGTTAATGTGCTCTGTTACAGAAAATGCGACTTTTTTCTGGCCGTAGCAGCAGCATTCATTAAAGATTTTAAAGCTATAACATATGAGATGCCACTAAAGAAAATGATGGCGTAGTTGGTTAGTATGGCATAACATGACATAACACATGGCATACATTGATAGGAGAAACACAAAATGACTTGGCCTATTTAGTACCACCTGGTCGCATTTGTCATCATCCTATTCTGCTACTGCTGTCATGCCATGAAATAATCTGCAAATAAAAACAATATATTCCTTGAAAACTATATATTGCTTGAAAAATAAAAACATACTTGAAACAGACTTTAATAAATAAACTATTAGATTTAAATAGCTTTTCCTTACAGAAGACTGTTTAACAAAAATTAATCTGTCTGGTTTTATCGCACCTGTGCCAGGATAGCAGTGCAAGGATAAAAAATCCCGTCAATGGTCACAGCCAAAACACTGTGCTCATCGCAGACTCTCTGACAATAGCCTGCAGTATTTTCCTCAGGCAGTATTTTCCTTTTCACTATGGCCAGTGCAGCAGCTGTGCATGTTGCCAGGAATAGGCCTGCTCCCCCTCACATGCTGGTGGAGATCAGGAATCACCCCGCTGTGTTACACCACCACCATGCAGCAGAGCAGGCCTCAGCGTGGGTGTCAGGATATAAGAAGAGGTCCAATTTTGCTGTTTTTTCTTGCTCTTATAAAGTCTAATGGGAATTCAGTCATGCATCCGCATGGAACTGGAACTGACCCAACGGGACAAATGTTGCCACATTGCTTTTAGTACAGGGTACCTTTTCAGGTCACTTCTGGGAGGGAAAATCACATGTCCCTAAGGTAATTCAACCTTATTGCTATTCTTTCATTGCTGATCTGCCATAAAGCTCTGCTTGTGCCCATGAGACCCTGAGAACACACGGCACAAGTTTCTGGCATCAAGAAGGTTGCAACTGAGTGGGGCCCAACCTGGTAGCAGGTCCAACCAACTCCCCGGGGAGCTCGGAGCCAGATACCCATCTGAGGCCCACAATGCAAACTGTTCCCTAACGACTACCTGTACAGGGACTAAAAGCTTAAGAAGGAGCCAAGTTCCAGGCAGCCCTTGGACTATTTACTCTGCAAAATAACCGCTGTAAAAAGTACTGGGAGGTGAAAAGAGGAGACAGCCTTGATTCTCTGTTCCCCCACCCCAGAAGAGACCCCATGGGTTAGTCCATCCGGCAGAGTGGTGTTACTGAACACTTCAGTGGTGTTTGCCACATCTTCGGAAAGGCCCATTTGGAGCAGGAGTTTCGAGATAAGGCTGTTGAACTTGCTCTCTGTGGTAGAGAAAGGCTCTCCACTTGGGGTTGGGCTGTAGAAAGTGACATTTAGCTCTACTGGGTCAAGACAGTAACCTTCTGGCGATCTGTCGTAGAGCACATCCGTCAGATCAATCCCCGCTACTGAGGAAGGGGAGGCACAGGGAATATCCCTGACGAGTCTGTAATTCTCCATCCACTCCTTCAGCCACTCAATGCGGCAGTCGCATTCCCAGGGGTTGCGGAAGAGGTACAGCCGCCCCAGAAAGTAGATGGGCTGGAAGACAGAAAAGGGCAGAGTCGTCAGGTTGTTGCTGTTCAAGTGCAAAGCGACCAAGCTGGTGAGGTTTTCGAAAGCCCCTTCCTCAATGTAGTTGATCCTGTTTCGATCCAGGTAGAGGACCTCCAGCTCCACCAGGTCCCGGAACCAGGTGTTAGAAACATTCCTGAGGAAATTCCCCCCGAGGTTGAGCATTTTCAGGCACCTCAGGCCATCGAAAGAGTTTTCTGGAAGCTCACCGATCAAGTTGTCATTCAGGTACAGATACTCCATCTTCTGGCAGGCCTGAAAAGCTCCCTCATGAACGACGTTTATCTTGTTGTCCTGCAGATTCAGGTATTTCAGCCTGGTCAGGCCTTGCAGAGAATTATAGGCCACCGCTTCGATCCTGTTTCTCTCCAGGTAAACGTGGGTCAAGTTCTCCATGCCCCTAATCGCACCTGGTATCCTTCGGAAGTTGTTCTGGAAACAGAAAAGCTCCTGCAGAGCAGGGAGATCAATGAAAATCCTGTCCGGGATATTGAAAAGGTTGCAGTGAGCTAGGTCCAGCTTGATGAGCCGTCTGAGGGCAGTGAAAGTCCGCGTGTGGAGATAGCGAATGTACTCGTTGTGAGCCATTCTCAGCTCGGTCAAGCTGGGCAGTCCCTTGAAAGCCCCCGGCGTAATGAAGGAGATATTATTGTGGCTGAGCGACAGGGATTTGAGGGAAGGCAAAGTACCAAAGGCCCTCTCAGAGAGGAACTTAATGCTGTTTTTATCCAAGTTGATAGAGGAGGCTTCACAAGGGAATTCACTAGGGATCTGCCCCAGACCAGCACGATCACAGAGGACGGAGCAGCTCCGCTCCTGGGTACACACACAGTTGGCCGGGCAGGATCGCACACAGGCCCACACCGCATGGACATGGGGGACGCAAAGGATAACTGCCAGAGAGGAAAGTGCCGTCCGCATGGCAAAAAGGTGGGAGGAAAGAAACAGCATGTTAGTAAATGTAATAATCATGACAGAAAGATTATGCTATCTTTACCTTTCTTCTCTCCAGACTAATTGTCAGCCTGTATTCATACGCATATGCTGACTGAGGAGTTCTTGTGAAAGATTCCTAGAAATCTTCCAGTGGGATTTTTAAGCCCTCTGAGAAGGTGTCAGATCCCTTTAGCTTCATCTCTTTTGAATTTCTCTCCCGAAGGGCAGCAGCCATCCACACTGCAGTGCCTCCATGACTGATGCATGCTGACAGGGACCAGGTTTGGCTGGGAGGGTTGGCAGAGATGCTCTGAAGGCCAGTAGTTGTAGATGGGTTGCAGTATTTCTAGGTGGAGAAAAGGGAAGGGCAGGATATGCTGCCCTGGCAGCTGGCAGGGGAGAATAGTTGCCTGGGGAAGATCAATATCTATGCTTCCTGCTTTTTTTTTCCGTTTTTCGTTCAGTCTAACATTTCTCCACCAGAGCCATTAGCAGGTGCAGCAATGTTAGGGGAACTATCAGCTGCTAAGGATGCAGTATGATATTTAAAAACATATTCCCACTGTGTTTTGGGTAGAAATGCATGAGGAAAGGCAAATTCAGGAATGTTTTGGGGATATTTTCTTCATGATTTCATTACAGGCAAGATGATACTCTGCATCTCCAGCAATGTTTTGCTAATTCTCAAGAAAGTCACCAAGGTATCTTATGCTAGATGGGAGCAACCACTCTGTGCTTTTATCAGCCTGATGTCCTGGAAGTGTGTGGCTGCTGTGGTTTCCTGACAAGTTAGTCCCAAGCAGGTGGATGCACAATAAAGAAGAGAAGGCAAAAGCTTTGACAAAGCCAAGAACAAAAAAAAACCTCAGTAGACATCAGCCTCCACAGAGAGGCATTTTTTGTGAAAAAGAAAAAGAAAGAAAAAAGCACAGGCAGCCAGACATCTGAGAAATAAATTTGTTAGAGAGCAAGAACTGAAAACAGATTTCATTTTGTAATTGCTCTCAAAGGTACCTCCTATCTGTCACTCACTGAAAAGGAAAGCCACAGCAGCAGGCTCTCCATGTAGTCATTAGCAGGAAACAGTGGTATTGCTGCTGCATTATTTTTATGCTGCACTTCATTGGCTCTCACAGATGGCACAGTTCTGTTTTCTCTTTCAGCAGAATAGGGGATATCATCTTCACCAACAGCCACATGTATTTCAGCATTGCTGTGATCCTGTGATTTCTACTGCGTGCTTGGCTAGCCCCAAGGCCCAGAAGTGCAAGGAGCAGCCTCTCCCCAGCAGTCCTGCTTACCATCTGCAAAGGGATGCTCCCAGCAGCTGCACTGGCTCTCCCCAGGCATTTGCAGTACAGCAGTTGCCCACGACAGCTCTATTCCTGATCCGCATTTTTAAAGACGTTGCAGCACTTTTTTTTGTAGAGTGAGGTGATGTGCTAGGAAGCATCAGTTTTGGCAAGTGACAGTCTTTTATTTTTGTAGCCCCTAAGGCTTTAATACGCAGATCAAACTACAATCTGAACCACAATTGCTCTACCCATTCCCCATCCTTTTTAAAGGCAACCTGCACGGTAGTGTATTTATGACTCTTTGCACTGGCTGTGGCTTCTGCATGCACTAGACTTGCAAAAGCAGCTGCTGGGCAGGCCCCCCCATTAGCATCATGTGAACCCAAGAGCCTCTCAGCACGGTTCATTTTGAACCATCCTGACCATTAAGTGTTGAAAAAGGTTTGAGATATGGGTGGAGGGAGCATCCCAGAAGGACTTCTAGTTATGGCCTCTTTATCGAAATTCAAGTCCCACTCTGTCGTGACTGGAGAATTAGCAAAGCGGTGATGCTTCAAGAATAAACAATAGTGAAGGACTCTGGGAGGGCAGAGGGATTTCATTTGGGTTGTCATTTTGTTCATCTGTGTGCTCTTCTCTCTTTTTCCTGAGCTCCTGTTTAACAGCCATGGCTAAAGAAAAGCTTCCTACATTCAGGGCCCTGGGGAGGCAGAAGGTGAGGATCCTGAGGACAAAACAGGGCACAAAGCTCTGGCCTCAGGAAGTCTTTCTTCATGCAGACCACTCAGGGAGCTGTCTTGTTTGCTCCCTTTCATATCATTCCTCTTTGCATGCAAACTGGGGCATATGTTGTTCTCGTTATGCAGTTACATAAACTGGGGTCCAGACAGATTAAGGTTTTGCCTGGTCTGAGATCCAGAGCTCTGACTGCGGGTGGCTGTCTAGAAATGACTGATGGAAATAGTGCTGCTGGAACAAGAGCCTTTGCATGAGTTCAGGGTGACATCCAGAGGGGCTTATGTGCACAGGCCACAGTGAGACTGTCCCGAGCTGGCTCAAAGTTTAGACCCATCTACCCCACCCTCAGTCGCATCTCTGGCTTCTAGAGCAGACTCCCTCTGGATGCTCTGTGGCAGCATGTGAGTGAGCAAGCTGCTAACAGATCCCTTCCTTCCCCTGCATGTTTGCTCTCTAATCACTCAATAACGGAAACATCTGAACCCAAGCCGTGTTCCAGCCTGTTCTCCTTAAACCTTAAAATTAAACTAAAACTTTTTTTTCATTATTTTTAATGCCAAGTCTGGGCCTACGCCTAGTGGCATTTCACAGCACAGGTTCTAGCTTTTTCTATTTGCAGGGATATCTCTTCACATTGCGCTCTACGTGGACTGTCCAACTAGAAGACATCCTCCAGGCAGCTCCAGGAGCTCAGTGGAGCCCCTCAGCCCCAGAGGCTCTGTGGTGTTCTCCCTCATTCTCTTGCAGAGGAAGTCTACCAAAGTCCTCCATCTGGACACCACCAGTCCTTGGGAGTGCTGCTGCTCAGAGTGCAGGAAAGAAAAGAAAAATGCCTCTCAGCTTGGTGCTGCTCAGCGGAAGGATGTTGGTCAGATCCCCTCTCTAAAATAAACTGGGAGAAGGAGTGCAGAAGTTTTCAATGTATCAGGTGAAAATAGCAGGAAGTATTCCCGTCTGTCCTTCCTTATTCCTTCCCCTTCCCAGAAAAGGATGTTCTTTGCTTTTAACAGTGTGGCAGACATGACAGCAGCTGGAACATGCCTCCAGCTCACTGACGCAAAGGGCTTGTGCTCAAATTAAGCATGTGGTTTTTTTTTTAAAAAAAAAAAAAAGGATGAAAACTCAGCAGTAAGATCCAAAATGTTAGCGAGATTAGGAAATGAACAGAATTCCACCAGGCATGGTTTTCCTTGCTCTTTTAAATAAAGCAGTAGTTGAGTATTTGCAAGGAAGAGTGAGAGAACAAAAAAAAAAACTGCTTTCAGAGTTTTTAGAAGGATAAAGGGACAATTCTCACAGTAATTGAGTATTTGACCTACACCTTTGAGAACAATCTGTCTACTGGGTAAAATAGAGTAAGAGTACTACTCACCATTTAAAATGATCGCAAACATTACCTTGATTATTCACTAGTGGCATTTCAGGTCGGGCAAGCAAACTTGAGGCATCTAAAAGCAGAAAGGAAGAACAGAGACAGGTTTCATCCTCTGTCATTTGCCTGCATCATTTTCCCATAACAGGGTCTATGTTAGAAAGGAAGATCAACACAAAAGGCTCTCTCCCATGTGGTTTCAAACTGATCGAGCCCCCAGCCCGCCACACCTTCCTATTAAATATCTTTCTTCCACCACTGACCTTTTCAGTGAGTCCTGCAGCTTTGTGCTATTCTTTTCCACCCGCTCGCCCGCCTCCTTCCCACCAGCTGTGCCGAGGGCACGTTCCTACCTGAGGTGGGGAAAGACCACCAACAGTCAGAGACTGGCCATTTCCCCAAGCAATAGGTGCTGCTACAGAGGAGCATAACCAGCTTAGTGTTGAACAACCAAAATTAAAATTCCCAACGGAAATCATCTAGATGCATTGCTTACCTCGCCTGGCAGTGGCTGTGTCCTCCCTGCTGCTCGGGAGCCTGCCGTTAGCCAGACAAGTCTGTCTCTGAAGCATTGGCATTTTTTTCTCACAAGCTATCATTTAATGGCAGGAAAATCCTCTGTATCAGAGGAGGATTAGCAGAAATGGAAGAACGTGCCCGTCCTTTAAAGCTCCAAAAGCAAAACACAGCTTGCAGGCAAACCAATCTGACTCTTTCTCCCCTCTGCCAATCTACTCTTCCGCCACCTTAAAAAAAAAAAAATAGTCATAAATTGGACTCGACTCCTGCCATTCAAAGAGCATTACTGAAAGTCATTACTCCAGTACCTGTTATATAATGGCAGGGGGAGAGTGCAGCCTGAATGTGATTATATGTGGGGCAAGCACAGACTTATGGTTTCAGTTAACTGAGCTCTCCAGACCGACCCAGCTTAGGACCCTCTGCCCACCCGCGTGCTTTCGCAGCCGCCTTGAGGCCCAGCGTGGATCACGCACGGCTCACAGGAAACCAGTGTGATTTGCTTTGCTGGGAGCCGCTCCTAAATGACACTGGTGGATGCCCAAGCCGTGCAAGTGGCAGACCCCAGCCACACTGGGAGGAGGCCCGGCAAACGCGCGGCGGTGGGTGGGGAGGGGGGACAACGGGCTCTGCCCTGCCTGCGAGCGTTTTGCTTGCGATGCGCTAGCCGGTGCATGGAAATCGTAAGGGCGGGTTCTGTACGTAGCGAAATTTTAGTGTTCAGGATGTGAATTGTTATTTAAAGCTTTTTCTGACACAATGATGATGGTTTCTTTGGAGAGTGGAGCTGAATAAGTGAGCTATCTCAGCCTCCCATGCCTTAGTTAATTACAATCACCGTGTCAGAGGGAAAAATTAGCTCTGCTCTTTGTTTCTAAATGAATTAAGCTGCTTTTTTCAGGAAATGAAATACCCGATTAATTTATGCTTGAGACAGCAGGACAGATTTCACTGGGATCCAGCCTCCTGCCGCTCGGCTCTTCCTGCAAATTAAAGCAAACAGCTGCATCAGTTTTATTTTGTGTTGGCTTTGCCTCAGTCTTAAGGCGCCTGGCTGGCACCTCAGGAAACGTGTGTGCATTTAGCCAGTGTCGAACGTGGCTGGTGCTGGGGGGGGGGTGGGCTGGAGGGAAAAGATTTGACCCACGCAGCGCTGCACGAGCAGCCAGGTCCCAGAGACTTGGGAATAGCGGGGAAACGCAGCTCCTCCGTTTTCAAATGAAAAAAAAAATCACTAGCTTGTGAAGAAAGAATTGGGGGGGGCAGGTGGGACAGGTGGGGCGCAGAAGGAGGCACCGTTCCCTTCTTTCTCCCCAGCGTTTACCATACCACTACTGCAGTGGGAACGGCAAGCCCATCTCTGCCCAGGTGCCGACGCGAGGCAGCCGAGGTGCTGAGGCAGCGGCTCAGTGCGAAGGGTACCTGGGGCACAGGGACAACTTGGTGTGCGATCAGTCAGCCGTTCCCCAGGGACTAGACCTACTGCTTGATTTGCAAAGTTTTACATGTATAGATTTACAGTTGTATATAGCTATGTGCATATACACACATACATATGCATATATATACACACACACACACATATATAAAAAAATTTGCTCATCAAAACCAACAAGGAAGGGCTGTTCTGCACCAAGGCACCAGATTTCTGCCCAGACTTTTGGGCTCTCCTGTGCCTCACTGCTCTCCTTCCATAGGGGATGGGCCACGAAGGACCGCTGCGGACCAGAAAATCATCTGCAACGTGGCCTCCTCCAGAGAGGCAGCTCGAGACGCATGGCAAAAAAAACGCAGCTCCCAAGCTTTGCTCTGCAGGAGGCAGCAGCTCTCTGGGCTGCCTCGCGCGCCCCTAAGCCAGCTGGCGAGACGC